CTGGAAAAGCCAACTTTTTAGGGCGCGTCGGAAGGACCGGAGGTCGGGGATTATACGAAGCTCCAGGGGCAGCTCATTTCTGTTGTATACCCCCCTGAGTCAAACTGTTTGAGTGGGCAGCCCTATAAATCCAACAGATAAATAAATTTACTCCCAGAAACTTCAAAGCTCTCCCTGGAATTGCCCAGGAGGAGCTTTGAGATGTGTTTCAGATGGAAATGTAATGTTTTGTTCCTATATTGACAAACTTTTGCCGATACTTAATTCTTAGGCTGGAATTTACAGCTGCTACACAATATGTCATTACCATCCACCTATCTAATATGACACTAAGATCATTAAAGACAGCTCAGACTCCATAATGCATACATGTTAGTTTTGGTTGCCCCAAGGTACATAAATGTGCACTTCCTTAAATTGAATTAGATTTGCATGCGGCTGATTGTTCACTCAATTGAGGAAGATTCTTCTGGAACACTTCACAATGACTTCTAATTTTTACCACAAAGAACAGTATGATCCGCAAACTTGGCCAGCATACTGCTTACTTTGAAGTCAAGATCCTTTATGAACAAATCAAAAAGCAATGGTCCCAGCAGTAATCGTACCCCAATGTATCTGGTTTTGCGAACCGGCGGGGAGAATGGGATGGTTTTGTGATTGGCCAACAAGCAGGGGTGCATATGCAGCTCCATTTGCACAAGCACCGTGCATGTGTGCCTGTCACTCATACAGAGTGCTCACTCTTACTCACTGCTAGCACAAATGAGGATGTGTGCACACACTTGTATTTGCCGGCCATTTCGGCATCCCGGTTGCAAATGGCTATGGCCCACAGCTTGGGGAGCCCTGCTCTAAGGGATTCCACTATGCATCTTGCTGAGAAAACTGGCATTTTATTCCTATTCTGCTTTCTGATAAAATATTTGTAGCTGAGGGGTGAACTGTGGAGTCCTTTGTGCTCTTTCAGCTTGGTTATTTTTTTGCAGACTTTTCATTACCAAACTAGGTAACATCATAATCCATGTTAGAAGGGAATGGGGTTTGGTCTCATTCATTTACTCTCAGTGGTGTGCCTTTTGGTGTTGGTGGGAGTGGTCTTGGTAGTTCTTTAATTGGGCTGCTGTTTACAGATAGTCCTCAACTTACAACAACAACTGAGCCCAAATTTCTGTTGATAAATGAGATATTTGTTTTGCCTGATTTTATGGCCTTTCTTGTCGATGGTTAAATGGAGCACTGCAGTTGATTAGTTAGTAACTCAGTTGTTAAATGAATCAGGCTTCTCCATTGACTTTGTCAGAAGGTTGCAAAATGTGATCAGATGACCTTGGACACAGCAACGGTCATAAATATGAACCCATATTTATGACCAAGCGTCTGAATTTTGATCACACGATCATGGGGATGCTGCAAAGCTTGTAACTGTGAAAAAGAGTCACAGCTCATTTTTTTCAGTGCTGTTGTAACTTTGAATGGTCACTAAATGAAGTGTTGTAAGTCAAGGACTACTGTACTGTTAGCTTGTTTGTCTGCATTGGTAGTTTTAACATTAGGCCAACAATCAAGGTAAACAACACCCCAATGAAGGAACTACCAACACAAACAAGCTAACAATAATGAGGACAGGCTTATAAACATAACACTGTAATGACTCAAAAAAACTTGATGAGTTTTTTGGTTAGGTTTTTTTTAAAATTCAAGTTGCTATGTTGACAAGATTACTTTCATCCACACTCACAGTTATCTCCTTTGTATCATTTTTTGGTTAAAAAATGTGTCAGTTCTTCCTGTTCTCCAGCACCAAAATCTGAATGTAGCAGCACCAAAATCTGAAATCTCCAGCACCAAAACTTTTGCCCAAATATTTCACACTTGAATTCTAAGAATTCTTGGGTAGATGTCACCAGGACCTGAAGATTAGGTAGTTTCTCAAGATTTCCTCCTGGTATTATCTCAATGTGCTATTTTTTTTTCTATAAATACAGAATTTACAGTAATTAAATATTAAGACTATATAGAAGAATGAATCTGAGGGTGATTTCGATGGTCTAAAACTATACTCCTATTCAACAACTTTTAAATCTGAGGGAACCAGAAAGCAATGCCTCTATGATTCTACTCCTCCTAGTCCTCTTCCTCCACATTCTTCCTTTTGCTTTCCTGACCATTTTACCCTTTTTTCTGCCAAGTTTGTATTCCAATTTGTTCCCTTCTTTAAGACAAGCTTTCCACTTCCTGAAAGAAAACTCTTATCTTTTACGGTTTCCTGACTACTAGCCCCGCTGGCCTCTTCCTGAATTTAGTTGACCCTTTCTTCCTCTGTAGAATAAACCTTAAAAGAACCACCTGGTGCTGTGAATAGATTTAACCCCTTTTACCCTTTTCTTTCGATCTCTTATTGACCTTTAACTTTTATAAGGTAAACTGTTCATACCCTACCTTCCCTACTCATCCAGACGCATTAAAACTAGGCCAAAATAGGGTTTCAGAGTGTAGTGTGTTGTTGGATCCCAGCGTGGCACAACAAAACCGCGCTCATCAAAATCGCGGTGATAAAATTGCGGCGCTAAAGCCGCGACGTCATCACCGTGCGTCATCACCGCCGCGACAACAGC